TTAAAAACAGAAGCATGGCTCTTGGAACATATCTCTTAGAAACCAGCTCCACTGGACTCCTTTCTCAAGCGACAAAGGCATAAATGGAGGGGGTATCAGCTTTCAGTCTCTTCCCTAAACCATATGATTTCAGTATTACAATATTATTTTGCGTAATGGATGCCTGCCCTGCTTTTTTTCACTTTCCTCAATATTTTCCTTTTTTAAAAATTGTAAATTTGCAATCAGGGTCTGTTCTTTCATTAAATAAACAACATTTTGCCCTGATGTTCTCTAGAGACTGCAGAGAAAAATGAAAACATTTTAAATACTGATGTGACACAGCCTGACAATGTTTAGTTCATTGTCGCAAAATAATTGCTTTGTAGAAAGCTGGCAAGAATTTTATCTCTGCAGTGGATTTTTGACCAATATTTCCTGAGTTGTCAAAGCAAGAGGAATTCAGCAGTAAGAAAACTGGGAGAGAGACATCCAAATAAAATATTTTCAGATTGCAATTGGGAAATGTTTGTCCATTTGCAAGAAAGTATTCTAGCTTTTGATTTCCACTTTCCATAACAATTTTATATTTGCTGCAGGCAAATTAGAACCAGACGGAAGTAGGAAGCTGATGTGAATAACAATGCAAGAGAAGCCAAGATGTATTGCCTTTCATTATTCTCCATCTCATGCCAATATTAAGATATTTAGGAAAAGACAGCAGCTCCAGTTCAGTCTTAGTTGCTGTGATAATTTGTGATAAATTTTAATCAGATCCACCAAAACTGATCCCACTGAATCTTTCAAAGAAAAATTTGTGAGATGCAGATAAACATTTTAGTTGTATTGTCCTTTGACTTGGAAAAAAAGATCAACATTTCAGTTTATGATCATGAAACTCAAGTGACTACATTGGGCAAGTCACTATTTGCATAAGAGGTAAGCCTGTTGTGGAAAAACTGGAATACCACTCAGGACTCAATGTTAAGAGTTTTGATGTTACCAAATATTTTCCAGTGCTTCAAAGAATCTCACAATGCAAGCTTTTGCATGTGTAATATCCCATTGCTTTGCACAATTCAATAGAGCACACAAACATCCCACTATTTTTGAGTAACAGAACACCCAAGTTTCCTGTATTAATACCAATAAAATAAGGGGAAGCCCACAAATTGGGAACTCAAAAAGGGGGATATAAACTGTATTGATAACATGTTACTTGAGAGCCTTTCACTGAAGTAATATCTCATCTGAATATTATTAGTTCTTCTTCCACAAATATTCTAAAATATTATATGTAGGTGTGGTTTACAGGCCCTTCCTCCTCCTCTTAATGTTAGCTTACCTCAACAATACCAGGCAATGGTCACAAGCAAAACCATTAACAGCAGAATGAAATAATAAACAGTAGCTTTTATAAAAATATTGTTTTGGCTGTAAAAAAAATGTATACAAAGTTATGAGCAAGAAGGAAATAAGGCAGCTGAAGGAAACAGTGAGCTGGCAAGCATGGGTCTATGGAAGAAAAAATAGGACATCTCCCATGTTTCCCTGAAAATAAGACAGGGTTTTATTTTCTTTTGACCCCCGAAATAAGTGCTTGGCATTATTTTCGGGGATCTTATTATTTTTGAGGTGCAGAAGATGGCGAGTGTGGTCACCTCCTGGATGCTACTGTGTTGCAATATTTTCAGGGAGGGCTTATTTTAGCGCATGCACTCAAAAGCCTGATTGGGCTTATTATCCGGGGAGGTCTTATTTTTGGGGAAGCAGGGTAGAACTAGAGATAAATCTAAGGCAGCAGCAGATATAGTAGAAGATGAAGGATTGTTCAAG